CCTATCCGTTGGTAGGCACTATTGAGATCAATGAGCATAGTGCTGAGGTCCTCCAGCTATTCTTCTATAACGAATATATCGTCGGCAAAACGAAGGTGAGTGATGTAGTCGCTATTGATGTTAATACCGTATCCTTTTCAGTCCTGTAGCTTGAAAACGTCTTCTAATGCAGCGGTGAAGAGTTTGGGGGTTATAACATCACCCTGTCTTACACCTCTCTACAGTTGGATAGGCTTCGTATTCTTGTTCTCTACTCGGATAGCCATCGTAGCCTTACTGTACAAACACTTCAGCACTTCGATATACGACAGTTAACTCGGCACCGATAAAGGGACGGCAGTACCGTCCAAATTTCGATGGAATCAAAGGCTTTATCATAGTCCACTTACGCTAGAAATAGTGGCAAATTGTACTTCTCGGACTTCTGTACAATTTGTCGAATGGTATATATGTGGTCTATGGTGCTAAAGCCTTTTCGGAAACCGGCTTGTTCGGGAGGCTGGAAGTCGTCAAGTCTGCGTGCGAGACGATTCGTAATGACTCTCGAAAACAGCACGTAGACGCGGCTCAGAAGGGAAATCGGTCCGTAGTTCTTCAAGAGAGCGTTGTCACCTTGCTTGAAAAACAAGACCACCGCACTTCTGCTCCACGCCTCCGGTGTAATGCCACCATAGTGGAAAATTGTACTCCTCGGACTTCTGTACAATTTGTCGAATGGTATGTATGTGGTCTATGGTGCTAAAGCCTTTTCGGAAAGCGGCTTGTTCGGGAGGCTGGAATTCGTTGAGTCTGCATGCGAGACGATTTTTTTTTATAGGACAGGGGGCAAACGAGCTTGCGGCTCACTTGATGGTAAGTGACTACCGCCGGCCATGAATAACTTCACCACCAGGGGAACCAGGGGGAATTGCAGATGCGTTGCCGGCCTTTTAAAAAGGAGGAGGCTCTTTTCTTGAAGGTCCCTAAGCCGTATCGGTCCGGAAAAATCGCTGATGGTAATCGATTCCACAAGGAAGCCGTGCGAGGAAGAAAAAATTTTCTAAATTGCACAGTGGTGGACCACCAATCATCCAGATGGTGTGGATGGTATCGGGAGTTCTGCGGCGATGTGCGTTCGTGAAATTTGGCGGCTGGGATTAATCCGATTACGATACGATTCGTAATGACTCTCGAAAACATCACATAGACGCGGTTCAGAATGGAAATCGGTCTGTAGTTCTTCAAGAGAGCGTTGTTGCCATTCTTGAAGAATAAGACCATCGCACTTCGGCTCCAGGCCGCCGGAGTTGTGCCACCATGGAGGACGAAATTGTAGAGCTTCTAAAGGACTCCAAATACTGGTTTTGCACCTGCTTTCAAAAACTCCGCTGTAATTCCATCCTTGCATGGGGCTTTTCCGTTTTTGTTTTACGTTTGTCTGTAAATCTACTGAAAACTGCAGCTTCATTTCCCGTTTAACAGCCATGAGATTACGAGTGTGATCGGAGAGTTTTTGTGTTCTTCTGCAGCGGATCTTGCATAACTTAACTCTGACCGCATGGACAGTTTCCACGAGCTAATCATTCATATCTTCTACTGCATTGCAATCTACTAGGCACTGAAAACTGTTTGTAGATCGAGCTGAAAGTTTTTGGGACTTTGGATTAGAGTACAAGGGGGGCGGAGCGTTGACTTCATTAGACGTGACCTCTCCAACTTAAAGTTTTGGTTCAGTGTGCCTCTTACCATTCGGTGATCGCTACCAGCTTCCACCCTAGCGATCACTGAGACATCACTGAACAGTTGTCGTCTGGTAGTCATAATGAAGTCAATCTCAATTTTTGTCAAACTGTTGGAGCTTTACAAAGTCCACTTCCTGTGGGAACACTTCTAGAAGAAAGAATTCGTCATAAAGAGTCCCTCTTTTTCTTAGAAGTTGGCCACCTGCTGGCCCCTTAGGTTCCATTGCCCTATTCCAAATTTCTCTGTCTTCAGCTCATCGTTCTCTATTGTGCCTAGTTTTGCGTTGAAGTCTCACATTAACACCGTATAGTGGGTTCTGGAGGAATGCATGGCTATAGGTATATCCTCATACATTTCCTCCACCTCCACATCGGGATGTGCAGAGGTTGGTGCGTAAATCTGTACGACCTTCAGCGAATAGCGTCTTCGGACCTCAGATAACCCTATAATATTTCAGCGCAACTTGTCTATCTCTTCTTCCAGCTCTAGGATCTTCTCGTTAGTCCTCAAGGAGCGTGTATTATATGTTGCCAGGTCGAGGCGTCTTAGGTGGCAACCGAACCTCCACCGGAGATTCTAGCACCCCCTGCCCCGCCGTTACCATGATCGCCACCGTAGCCAGGAATAGCGGGGCCGCCAGGGACTAGGAGCCGTCTCTTTGCAACTTTAATCATGGGACGTATATTGTCATAGTTGCCACGCTTGGCAAGCGGGTTGGCAACTGCAGTTTTTTATTGTTGTTTTGCTGTTATCAGAAAAATGCTGCTGCTCATCTTCTGCCTCAGTTTCCCTCTGACGCCTCTTACGACACCCACGGGAAGATATGGGGTAGTGGGTATTCTTACCCGCCACTAGACGGAGATTATTAAGCTTCATTAATCAGAAAACTATACGAAGAACTGAAGAAAAGACGTCGAAGAAAATTTCGTTCTAGAGTGCTTTTTCATCATAATAATGCACCTGCCTATCGATCTGATGTTGCAGGCGCTGCCATGCAAAATGCTTGGTATCAGGTGATGCAGCACCCACCATATTCTCTACCAGATAAAAAAACAATTTGAATTTGTAGATGAAGAATCTATCTCATTTGGTGTCCATGGTATTGAGCAGGGCCTGCAGCAGATACAGCAGCAGAATAACTTAAGTATATAGCAGAGGTGGCGAACCTTTATATATCAATGTGTCATTTTTCTAAATGAATGTTTAATGAGGTCATAGACGTGCCGTAAAATAATATTGACTTCCTGATTACCGCCGCCCCGCGCATCGCTCCTGAACACTCCTTAGCATAAGATCACTCTCATTCGTTCGTAATATAATACTTCATAATGAACTTTGTGATTGGTGGCGTCCCCGAAATTTTGTGTTGCGTGCCATTAATAGCAAGCGTGCCATTGGTTCGCCATCCCTATTATAGAGCCTTGTGGATTATTCAGTCATAAAACCTATTCTTTAATGGTGCTACACCTGACGGACTAATTGCTGATGTGTTGCTAGCAGAGGTAAAGTCTTCTATTACAGAATCCAAAAAAGGCCTAATGAATGCCATTAACATAAATAAAATAATAATATTGAAATATGATAAAAAATCTAAAACCACAACGATTAATAAAAAAAGTGATTTCTACTACCAGGTAAAGGAGCAACTACACCTTTTTTTACGTGGGGAAATCCTCATGGATACCTTCCGCTGCGGGGGCAACGAAAAGGTTATGCCGGACTCATACCGGCTAAAACCCACGGTGGTCACCATCAGCGTATACGAGGGTCCCGGGATCTCCGTTCGGAACGCAACCGGGCCCCATCGTTTTGCTACGCTTATAGCACGTCCCAGGGACAGTAATTGCTGCCCCCAGCACTCTCGCTGTGCTATCACGATGTCTCGAGACCACTTCCGAGTCATCGTCCTCCTCGGGGGTTACATTACTAGACGTTCGAGCCTCCCGCCTCGAGCGTCTGCAACCCCGGAGGCCCCGTTTCCGGTAGGGGAACACCGTTTTCAAGAGGAGGGCCGTGACGAACGTCTTGGCGACGTCGTTTCTGCGCGGGATCCGCCCTCTCCCGATCCCGCTCAGAAGCCTCCTTCTGGATCATAACAGATTCACAGAAGGTGGCTACGGCCCTCCACGCCGAATCCCTGCTCAGCATCGCCGACACGACTGCTGGCAGGGAGAGGTTCCGTCCGATGCGGTTCATCATGCCCGGTAATTATTTGTGTAAGTCTGTAGGTGAGTCTTCCTACGCGTCGCTGCATCCAGGCTTCGAAGACCGGCAGTATTGCTCCAATGACGCGTTTGTGTCCATAGTGCTCCTCGAGTCGAGTGCACCATGTCGCCAGGGCGTTTTGTCGTTCCTGCTGTTTAATTGATTCGAGCGCCTCTTCTGGCTCACTACCACCGCTCTGGTGGAGGGCACTGATTCGGTCATATATCCTCGCGTCCATCTCCGCAAGTATATCTAGTGGTAGAAAGCGAGCCAGGATTGTAGCCGTCTCAAAGGATATAGTGCGGTATCCTCGTACGATCCATATGGCCATCCTCCGCTGGACACTGTAAATTTTAGTTCTACAGCGTCGGATGGCCAGCCTTTTTGCCCATACAGGCGCTCCATACAGAGCTATGGACCGTATAACTCCCGCATAGAGGCGACGTACTTCCTGCCTCGGTCCCCCTAGATTGGGCAGCAGTCTATGCATTGCACCCGTCACCCTTTCGATCCGGGGGACTAGGCGCTCGAAATGTTCTTCGAAGCCCTAGCGACTGTCAAGGTGGAGGCCTAGGTACTTCATGTACCTCCCAACTATGACTTCGGACCCACCTACGCGGAGGCACGGGTCAGGTGGTTCCCTGTCCCGTGGTAATTTATGGAACCATAGGGCCTCGGTCTTTTGAGGCGCTATTTCTAAACCCAACTCGTGGATTTTGGCGACGACGACTTCCACCCCAAGTTCGTCGAACTCCTTGGCCCTCTCGAAAGTTATCCTGCTGGCGATCACCAAGGTGTCGTTGGCATAGCACACGATATTTACGCCAGCGGGAAGGTCGACTCGCAGAACCGCATCGTACGCGAGGTTCCACAATAATGGACCCAGCACCGAGCCCTGTGAAACCCCACGTCTGATCTCCCTCCGAATCGTTTTACCATCTTTCCCCATGTACAGAATATACCTGTCGCGCAAGTAGTCCCCAATAATACCTTGCAGGCAGGGGGGCAATTGATGATGTGCCAGTGCCCTCCTGATTGCGTCCCAGGGTAGAGAGTTAAAGGCGTTGACGATATCAAGACTTATCGCCAACGCCACCCTGTGATACTGTTTGTTCCGACAGGGAGCGGACGCGCATAATCGCATCTACTGTGGAACGCTCCCGTCGGAACCCAAACTGGCTGTCAGCCAAATCGGGACCGACGCGCAACAGATGCCCGCTGAGCCGAGTGGCAACTATCCTCTCGAACAATTTGCCAATCTCGTCCAGCAGGCATATGGGGTGGTACGCAGAGGGAGAATCTGCGGCCCTGCCCTCCTTCTTCAAGAGGACCAGCCTTGCCTCTTTCCAGGCTGTGGGGAACTTGGCACACCGCAGGCAGCTGGTAAACAGCTGCCTGAGCCTGTTCCCCAGGTCAGCCAGATTCAGCATTAGGAGCCGTCCCGGGATTCCGTCGGGCCCCGGTGCTGTGTTCCGGACTTTTAAGCAGCTAACGGCTCGGTCCAGCGTCTTGACTGTCACCCCCATCTCATCTTGCCACTCCCATGAAGACGGCGGGTGACCTTCGGGACTTGACCCGTCCTCTGGAAAGAGCGTGCTGATTATCCTTTCCAGAAGCTCCGGATTGAGAGTCTCCGTCAAAGGGGGCGACCAGGGCCAGAGCTTATTACCCAGCACTATCCTGTATGGGCGCCCCCAGGGATCTTTGTTGAGTCCCTCCAGAAGCTCTTTCCAGGACCGAGACCTGGCGTTGGTAATGGCGATTTGCAACGCCTTTGTAGCCGCTCGGTATGCCCCATAGAGTCTGGCTGTCTCCTCAAGCGGAGCTCGCCGTCTTCTCCTTTGGGCTCTAGTGTACTGGCGCCGACATCGCAAGCAGATTGCACGGAGCCGTGCGATTTCTGCTGACCACTATTACACTGCTTTGCGCTTGGGGCGACTGGTTCTGGGCATCGACAGGTCGCAAATTTGCGCCATCGTACTCCGAAACTAGTTCGCTTCCACTTCAGGATCGGACTGAACCTCTTCGGCGTTTTCTGGGCAGGAGGCGACGATGGCGGCGGCTTCGAGCTTATCTCGGTCGAGCCGCTTGAGACACCAACGCCGCGGTGGGCTGCTATCTCTGCAACTGGGGTTACTGTCAGGCTGTCGAAGTGCGACATCGAATACGATGTGGCGGTGATCAGACAAAGTGACCACCTCCTCCGCCACTCGCCAGCCCGACAGCATTTGCATTGCAGGAGGAGTTGCCCACGTAAGATCCACGGTGGACTCCGCCTGCCACCGTACACATGTGCTTACGGACCCCTGATTCATTAATCGGAGGTCCAGCCCAGCCGCCCATACCATCACTGTCTCTCCCTTGGGATCGTCTCTGGAGTTGCCCCAAGCCCTTGTGTGGGCGTAAAAATCTCCAAGAGCGATCAACGGACGAGGTTGACATGGTTGACATTCGCGAACACAATTTGCCACCTCGTCTAGGTATGCCTCGTAGTCGGCAAGGGACCTATTAGGAAAGACATAGCAGCCCACTATGGCCAGGGAGCCCCATTGCACTGCAACAAAGCCCTGCCCTCTTCTTAAAAGAGCGCAGGGTGGGACACCCTCTCCATCCCCCCAGTAGATGGCGACGGTGCCCGACACATCACCGCGGCGCGAATTTCCAACTCAGCCACCTCCATAGCCGAGCTAGTACTCGGTGCAGCGACAGAAGTCGTTGTAGCGGCCTTGCTGGTGGGTGCAGATACCTCACCATTCTTCCTTCTCTTTTTTTTGGGAGGTGGGATGCACTTCTTTCCTAGTCTGTGGCCAGCAGAATGCCCAAGATCGGAACACAGGGAATATTTTAGTGCTGACGCAGTACACTGTTTCGCCCTGTGTCCTTGCTCTCCGCAAGCATAACAACGTGCGCCCCTGTTTGTTTCACTGGAGCACCTGCTGGTAACGTGCCCCTTTTCTAGGCACCGAAAACAATGCATGGGCCTGGGCTCCAGTAATTATACTCGAGCAGACCCCCCAACCCACTCGCACTCGCCCAACAGCCGCAATCTTGCGGACTGCCGTGACTGGGCACCGCACCCAGCATGTCCCCATGCAAGTGGGATTTCGGCAGATTTCCCCGACTTTTATGTCATCCACCGAACAACCTCCTGCCTCAGCCATAGCCGCCGCAAACTCCAAAGTGCTGACGGCGTCGTAGAGGTCCCTCAGTCGAACGTCGCTTGTTTTAACTGGCCGATAGATTCGCACGTTTAGATCTGAGAGAACCTCACGCATTTTGGCCGCCAGCTTGTCCGCCTTCGCGCCGCAATCTGGACCCTTAATTTCCAGCAGGAGTCCACCGGTTACCGCCCGCTTCTGGCGGACTGTTTCGATGCCAAAATCTGCCAAGTGTATTTTGGCCTTTGCCTCCTCCATTACTTTGGCATAAGTACCAGTGGAGCTTTCTGTCACCGTAACAGTTACGGCCGCCGATGTTGGGGCACGAGATGTTTACAACACAATAGCACATTGAGGTTAACATTAAAGAGTAATCAGAGCCTGGTGATCTCTCGATGCAATCGTTTAACAGTTAACTTTCCTAAAATTTGGTATACGCCTTGTGGTTGCAGTCGCAACATTACAATAATAATAACCTTATGTTTAATTTTTATAATTTAAGCCTCATTGACCTAATGGCAGGGCGCGGACCACAAATTCGAAATGTCGTGGGTTCGAAGCGGCCATTTGAATAATATTTTTTTACCCTTTGGAATAGAGTTTACTCTCGGTATGGACCCTCCACGGCGATATGTCAGTAGTGTAGCCTCGTTAGAGTCACGGAGGATAGGGTGAGTGGCGTCTCATCATGCCAACACTCGTCCTCCGCCGCAATCAAATTCGACTGCGTTGTTAGGGGGAGGGACACTGCTCTCGGTTCAATCTATCCTATAGGCCCATTAGCCTCACATCCTTTCTCCTAAAGACAATGGAGAGGATGTGTGAAAGGGAATTAAGGGGGTCGGCACTAATGAACTTACCACTACACGACAAGCAACACGCCTACAGTCTAGGCAAATCAACAGAATCGGCACTTCATCAGGTAATTACAAAGATTGAAGAGGCCATCCAAAACAAAGAAATATGTCTAGGTTCCTTCATAGATATAGAAGGTGATTTTGACAGAACGAAATTCTCCAGCATAAAAGGTGCACTCAGTAGACATAACGTTGAACCGGCACTGATTGACTGGATAGTTTACATGCTCAGTACACGAATAATAAAGATTGCTGGTGAATCTCAACCAATCCAAATTAAGAAAGGCTGCTCGCAGGGTGGGGTTCTCTCACCTCTCCTGTGAAATATGGTCATTAATGAACTCATCAGCAAATTAAATACCAATCACTTCTATACAGTAGGTTATGCTGATGACCTGACAATACTGGAATACTCTGGAAAGACAGCAAGCATAGTGTGCGAACTGACCCAAGCGGTTCTCCGTATAGTGGAGAGATGGTGCAGGGAATACGACTTAATCGTCAATCCAAATAAAACGGTTTTAGTAATGTTCACACAAAAAAGAATGCTGAATAACTATCATTTTCCAAGTCTTTTCAGCACTAAGCTCCAGCTATCCTCTGAGGTAAAATATTTAGGTCTTACCTTGGACAGCAAACTTAACTGGAATAAACACATAGAAAATAAAATCAACAAAGCTAGTATAACTTTCTGGTGCAGAAACATGATTGGCAAAAGATGGGAACTAACGCCAAAAATCATACTGTGGCTTTACAAAACTGTAATTCGGCCCATGATCACATACGGCGCTCTGGTATGGTGGACCAAGAAAAATGAAGCCACCACAATTAAGAAGCTTCAGCGCTACCAGAGATTGGCATGTATGGCTGCCACAGGCTGCATAGGAACTACGCCAACAGCAGCCTTAGAAGCGATGCTGGAGCTAACTCCGCTTCATTTACATATACAACAAAAAGCGACTTTAGCTGCCATCAGACTCAAGACCCTAAATCTTTGGAGTAAGAATAGTGTCCCTCATACAGGCATAATTGATAGAATTCACTCAAAAATTCCTGTCCTACAAGCCAAATACGATAAGATTCCTAAACAATTTATTTTCGATAAGAAATACAAGATACAATTAAATGAAAACAGCCAGCCGGAAGGATTAAGCCCAAAAGAGCTTAGAGTTTTCACCGATGGTTCTAAAACAAATGAAGGTGTAGGTTCTGGAGCTTTCTCTGAAGACCTCAATATTCACATATGCACACCGCTGGGTACCTATGACACGGTCTTTCAGGCGGAATGTATGGGTATCATTCAAGCGGCCATAGCAATAGATGCTAGGAAGGTTAATGACTTCCGCATCAGAATACTGACCGACAGTAGGGCGGTACTACAAGCTTTGAGTTGCAATAAGGTGAACTCGGGACTAATATATGAATGCCATCAACGATTAAATGAGGTATGTAAAAACAACAATGTGACTCTGCAATGGATAAAGGGACACAGTGGATCCAGAGGCAACGATGCAGCAGACGAACTGGCCAGAAGAGGATCTGCTCTGGCCACTATAGGCCCGGAACCAGTCATACCAATCCCCTTTGGTAACGTTCGTTCACTGGTACGTAGACACTTCACTAATCAACACGCCAGCTTTGGAAAAATCTAGTAGACTGTAGACAAGCTAGGGAGGCCCTGCCTGAAATAAACAGTCGCTTAACCAAAGTTTTAAATAGACTGAACAAGCCGCAGATCAGGATAGTAACTAGTGCTATCACAGGACACGGCACCTTTAACAAACATTTATTTACTATAGGTGTTACAGATAGTCCCCTGTGCAGGGCATCTATGGGGGAGGAAGAAACGGCGGCCCACGTGCTACTGAAATGTCCTTAGGTCGCTACGTACAGGGCTAAACATCTCGGCACGCCGGGATTACTCCCCGAAGTTGCATGCAACATCAAGGGACTGTTGAGCTTCTTCGGGGAGATCTCATGGCTCGAATAATCACATTATTCCTGTCCACACGCAAAATATGCGCATAGACGTGTTGCGGAAAACAGCCCGTCGTAAACTAAACTAAACTAGGGGGAGGAACACTGCTCTCGGTTCAATCTCTTGATACAAATCCAAAGTGGTCTTGCCAAGTTCAAGCTCAAAATTTGGCTACTCTTGGAAAAATAACCTTGTGTTATTCGATCAGTATATCACATTGGTTGTATAAAGAAACATTATTTCAGTTGATCGATATATCTAATGTTTCATAGTGCAGTTTCTAAATTGAGATAATTAAACTGAATATAAAATAAAATTATACAATATTGTTATTTCAAAGGGAATAAATTAAAAATATGCCAAATGTTTTCGAACAAATAAAACGCATCTATGGAATGTCGTTTAAATTATAATATTAAAAAAAATATCTACTATTT